TTCATTCCCCATAATTTAATCCCACCCTCTCCCAAACACCCTAGCATTTACTTCTTTTACAACCCCATCTATAAATATATTAAACAACCATGGTGACATTACACATCCCTGTCCTAAGACCTACTTTTACCGGGAAGTATTCTCCCTCTCTTCTACACACCCTAACCTGAGCCTCACATCCTCATAAAAGCTCTTTACAGCATTTAGTAACTTACCACCTATTCCATATACTTGCAACATCTGCCACATTGCTCCTCTATCCACTCTATCATATGCCTTTTTCTAAATCCATAAATGCAATAAAAACTTCCCTACCTTTATCTAAATACTGTTTCACATATATGCTTCAATGTAAACACTTGATCTACACATCCCCTACCCCTCTGAACCTCCTTGCTCATCCGCAATTCTACATCCTGTCTTACCTCTAATTCTTTCAATTATAACCCTACCGTATACTTTTCCTGGTATACTCAGTAAACTTATTCCTCTATAATTTTTACAATCTCTTTTGTCCCCTTTCCCTTTATATAAAGGGACTATACATGCTCTCCCCCCAATCCGGGTCCCTTTCCCCCTCTTTCATACTTTATTAAACAAAATACAACCACCCAACACTATATCCCCCCCGTTTTTTAACATTTTTTCAGATCCCATCAGTTCCACTGTTTTAACCCCCTTTCATTCTACGAAAACCTCACGTACCTCCACCACATTTACTTTCTGCCTTCTCACCCTAAAAGAGGGTACCCCCCGGGCCATGCTAAAATTTAAACCGCCTCCCTTTCTCCTCAACTTTAAAAGTTCCTAAAAATATTCTCGCCATCACCTAATACCTCCCTCTCCCCATCTCTAACCCCCTACCTTTTTTAACGGAAAAAATCCAACTTTCCCTGGCTTTTTTAACTTGTTTAACCGGGAGTTTCCTGGAGAGAGTTTGGGGGGCAACCCCCCGCGGCCCGGTCTGTGACCAGGCCTCCTGGTGGATCAGCGCCTGAAAACCCAGCTTTGCTGCGGGCTGCACGAAAACCAACTACGACCAAGCCCGGCTGATCGGGAAACTGACTTTGGGGGCTTTTTCCATGCCACTTGAAGACTGCCGGGGGTCTGTTGGTAATCCCCCTTATGTGTGCTGGGGGGCGTTAAAACACCCGGGGCCCCTGACACTTTTTTGGAGCTCTTAACTGCTAGTGACACCCTGCTTTTCAGGGGGGGATGGTGCATCGTCGCCGTCTTTTCTTTCGTATTGAGGATTTTCGTGTGAAAGTTCGGAAACAGTCCCTCTAGATTTTTTTATTTTCTTTAAAAATTTCTTGACAGTGCCTCCCCCTCTTTCATCTCTCCCTTTGCACTCTCTCACCATCTTTTTCACCTTCTTTACTCTCCATATCTCTGCTCTTCTTATAACATTTCTCTTTGAAAAACCTCTTGAAGCTCCCCTTTTTCTCTTTTATCACACCCTTTTACTTCATATTCCACCAATCACTCCTCTTCCTCCCCCCCCCCTCCATAACCACAAACTTCTGCCCCACATTCTAAAACGCTTTTTTAAAACTATTCCAACCCCTTCAACCCCCCCACTACTCATTTTGCACAGCCCACCTTTTGCCAATAGTGCTTATACTCGCCCGAACTTCCTCCCCCTTTAGTTTATAAAACTTTCACCCCCTTTTATTGTTGTTGCCACCTTCCTTTTTTCCCACTCCCCTTTTTACTCAAAACGAGCTACAACTAAATAATGACTGATATTCAGTTCCCCCCTCTATAAACAGACATCCTGGAGCCACCCACAACCTTTTATCCACCAATACATAACTAAAAAACTACTTTCATTACGTGCTACATCATACCTTGTATATTTATTTATCCCTTTTTCAAAAAATATGTATTACTTATTACCAAATTTCTTTCTACACAAGCTCAATTTAAAAGGGTCCCCATTTTCATTTTCCCCCCCGGCACCCCAAATTTACCTACTACTCCCCCAAAACATTTTAAACCCCCTTTAGCATTGAAAACCCCCCAACCACCATTACCTCACACTTATTCAAAACTCCCCACGCATTCACTCAACATTTCCCAGAACCTCCTCTCTCTCCTCTACACCTCTCTCTTCTCCAGTGCATACACGCTTACTTAACCCACTTTTTCCCCCAGTCTTATTTACTCCACATAATCCTTGAATTTATGCATTTTTTAGTCCTCTTTCCCGCCATAGCTTATCCTTTAACATTATTGCTACTCCTTTTTTTAGCTCTAACTCTATTTAAACCCCTGACCTAATCCCATTTATTCCTCCCATTTTAAACTCTCCCACCCCCTTCAGCTTTGTTTCACTTAAAGCCGGCACCAGTTTCTTCTCATTCATAACACCACAATCACTCTTTTTTATCTTTTTCACAACATCCACGACATTAACTTCCCACTTTGACAATTTTCTTCTTCTTATTTTTTTTTATAATCTAACAGAAAAGGGGGTTTCTAGCCCATTTTCCCCATT